CAAATGCATAGGACTCTTGGTCCCTCCCTTGAGCCTCACTGGGCCTCAGTTTCCTCATCTGAGGATTCCAAGGCTTCAGGCTGGGGTTGCTTCAGGCAAGGTGCCTGGAAAGTACCTGATGCCTACTGGTTATCCATCTATGCTTGCTCAGGAACCCAGACAGACACAGTCTTTACACACCCTTTATATTTTTATTGAGGAGAAAGCTTTAGCATACAGAATGATTTCTTATCTTCACAACACAGTAATGCAACAATAACACAGTAACAATCACACATTTATTTCCAACGGGTTTCCTCCCGAGTCTCTGGGAATCCTTGGGTTGCCTTCATACCCCTGCATGCATTTCCCCCCACCACCCACCCCACCCCACCCCTCTTTCAACCCAAGAAAAGTGCCCAAAGCCCATAGTTCCTCTTACAGCTCTAGTGGCTGTTACATCACAACAAATATTGAAGATCTAGGAGGGGAAAGAGGATCAAAGGGAAGCCCAGGCCCCCCTGCCACCAGAGGGCCAGGAACCAGCTCACTGCTCACCCACTCTTTCCCTGGCTGAGGCTACAAGGTCTCAAGGTGGAAGCACCACGGATAACAGGCAGGACCTGTGCTGAGGGGTCCCTGGAAATAGGGGTGCAAGGCACCTGTCCTTTGCACTTCTCCAGCAGGGACATGGGCAGCAGGGCCGGTGTGTCGACCATCAGCAAACAGGGTCCACAGCCTCAAAGAACAGCACTTCCCCTTCTGGAACTGTCTCCTGGGGAAATAGCTGAAAAACACAAAATTTTCGTTACAGTGTTGTTCACGCCTGCACTGGTGGGGATGGGGGAAAACCAGGCACCTGAAATGTCCAACGAATTAGGAAAATACTTCAATTATTCAGTACACTTGACTGCATAGGTGGCAGCCATTTTAAATCCTGCTGATCAAGAGCTGCAAGATGATCTCAGCTTTGACAAGACACACTGAGAACACATTAGAAAGAAAGGCAGCCAAGTGTTACTAATACTTGCCTCTGTGTGGTGGGTTTCTGAATGTTTGGGGTTATTTTCTGTCCTTATAGTTTTCTCTATTTTCCAAATTTTCTATAATCATTAGGCATCACTTTCCTCTTTGGAGGAGGGGGAGGCTTTTTAAAAAGGTAGCAACAGGTTATAGGAACCCGGCTCCACTGCTCCCCAGGCTGAGAAATGTATGATAAACAAAAGGGCTTCTTACCTCCCACTGATGAATAGAGACCTCACCAGCAACCAGCCAGTAGACGAACTGGGTTTCTTTGGGACTCCTCTTCCTCCAGCTCCTTCCTCTTGCTTCCAGGCTCAAAACCCTAAGGCTCAAAGTCCTGAGGTTATCTGTCGGACTTCGGTGAAGAACACAGACTTAATTTACTATGCCTCCTTCCCTCTGGCCACAGACACCTTGGCTGCACTTGCCCAGCTGCCAGACACTGTGCAGGCGGCTCCATGTCAAGGGCAGTTCAGGCCAGCAGTGGGTTTGGCTGGCATTCTGTGGCCAGTGACATAGTGTGTCCTTTGCATTGCACAAGCAGTGGTTTCTGGAGCCATGGCAAGCAGCAGGACTCTTTATACGGGTCCCAAGGTTTGTACCCAGAAGTCCCAGGAGTTAGTTACTAGGAGGCAAACACCCTGTCAAGCCTTACCGTCTCCTTGAAGCCCAGCATCAGGCCGTGGCTTCCCACTGATGGGAGAGACATGAGGATGTTCTGGCTGCGAGGCCGCAGTCTCTGTAGAGAAACTTCCTCTCTCTCCTGAGAACTAAGGAACGCTTTAAGTTGAAGTTAAAGAGCAGGACTTGGGCTCTTTCCTTGGTGGTCAGGGAAGGAAAAGCCACTTAGGCCTCCTGTGTATTCCCAAGGATGGCAAGTCTCCTGCAAAGACCTTTGGCTGGGGACTGCTGTCCGAGACCCGACCCAAGAAGGAGACCACTGTCCCTAAGGAAACGGTCACTCCTCACAATGTCAAACTAAGTTGTTGCTGCTTCTTTTTGGTCCTCCTCCTCCTCCCCCATCTTCCAGGCAACACCAAGGGGAGGGGTAACACTGGACTCTGTCCACTGGGGATGCCCAGGAGGGCAGTGTGTTCAGAGGAGAGGGCCCCAGATTTGGCGAGCTGGTTCAAGGGCTGTGATGTAGTAGTCTGTGAGAGGGTGGGACTAGCTTGCTCAGTCAGTCAAGGACAAACTTCAGCCAAGTTGTCCATTTGACGTGTGGCTTTGCCCACCATCACTGGGCTAGATGTAGGGTCCACTTTAAGGCCCTTCTGCTGGAGGCTGGAGCAAGTGTAGGCTTCTAGGCACATTTCTTGGTCGCATCCTGCTCTCCGTCAATTACGGGTAGTAAGCGGCCTCAGTGGCATTAGGAGTTCAGTGTAGCCTGTCCTTTCGCTCATTGGGGCAGATCAGTGAGGCGCTGGGTGAAGTCCTGGTGAGCCAGTCAGAGTGGATAAAACCACAGAACACAGGGTTAGGAACAACTAGAGGGGAAATACAAGGAGGTGACCAGTTCATTTATGGGAATAGGCCCAGAAACCTGCTCACTAGCTTGTGGCAGGGCTGAGCAGGGTGCCCAGTCAAGAGGACAGCTATCGCGGACCCCTCCTTTCCCTGGTGGCTTTGGTTGGGCCTGTGTCACTCCCTGGTCAGGACTGCAAGGTGGTCTGGAGTTCTACAGGTCTTCTTTAGGTTCTTTAGGTCTGGAACTCCATTAAGTACTGGTCAGCAAATGGGGCAGGTGTGGCAGCAATAGCAGGGACAGGGAACGCAGTAGAAGGGTGTGTTCCGGGTGGCCATCTCGCCCCAGCACTCACACACGAATTCGGCCACGTGAAGCCCGGTGCCCCGCCTGTCTTGGAGTGAGGCGGAAGAGCACTGGGGGCCGTCTTCGGGTATGGCGTTGCCCCAAGCGACCTGCTCGGCGAATCAAAGGTGGTGAACTGTAGAAAGGCGAATTGGTACCTGGAAGGCCCTCCAACAGTGGGACTCGATTCTGGTTCCTCCGTCTGCTGGGCTGTATTATTGGAGGCGATGTATCAAGGAAATTTTCATGATAGTAGCCAGTAGTCTGGGATGAAGCGTTGGCATAGGTCGGCTCCACCTCCATCAGGTCATCTAGATCATCATCCTGGGCCTCATCCTCCGTCTCTTCCTCCTGTTCTGGCTCCTGCTCTGGCTCCTGCCCTGGCGCCTGGCCCTTATCCTCATCCTTATTCTCATCCTCAGTCTTCTTCCTCATCTCCTCCTCTTCCTCGTCCACAACGTCCACCACCACGATCTCGTCCTCATCATCGTCCTCCTCCTCCCGTTTCTGTTTCATCTCCTCCTCCTTCTTCCTCATCTCTTCCTCCTTCTTCCTCTTCTCCTCCTCCTGCTCCCTCATCTCTTGCTGAATAGCTCTCGCACGCCTCCGCTGGTCCTTGTCGTGAAGCCTGCGCCTGCGCACCTCTGCATCTTCATCCTCACTGTAGCGCTCTTCCTCTCCACTGCCCTCGACATTAGGGTCTGCAGCAAAAGGGAAGAAGATATTGCGAACCCCAGGGAGCGGGATTGGCTTGGGGACACGCACTTTCCTTTCTATCTCCACACATTCGAGAATCAGCTCGTCCAGGTCGGCCATTTCCGTTGACCATAAGAGCTCCTTGCGGAAAAATTCTGACAGGCCTTTGAGGAACTGGTTTTGAAGGCGACAGTCATCCCAAGACAAGAATTGGGCCAGGAACTGAAAAGCATCTGCATAGCTGCCGAGGGTACAGTCTCCCTGCTTGAGCTTGCGGATGGCCTTTTTCGCCACACTTGGGGGGATGGGGCCACAGAATTTCTTACGGATTTCATCCAGGAAGCGCGGGAAGTTGGCATGCAGGGGGCTTCCTTCCTGGGTGACTGAGACGGCCCAGTCCTTGGCGTCACCAGTGAAAAAGGAGATCAGAAAGGCTACCCGCTCAGCACCCCCGGGGAAATGATCCTCGTGGTCAGCTATGAAGGTCTCTAGCCGCATCAGGAATTCAGGCAGGTAGACCGGGTCGCCTGAAAACGGCTCTAGCTCAGGCCGCTCCAGAGGTGGCACAGGAGGCTGCGCGGGCAGCTCCTTGGAGGCGGGCGGGGGCAGTGCCGGCGAGGGCGGACTGGGCTGCGGGGGAGGGTCGACCTGGCCATCAGAGGTGCCGCAGTCCTGGGCCCCGTTGATCAACAGCTCCTCCGGGGCGCACTCAGGCTCCGTACGTGGCGGAGGCCAGCGCGTGAAGGGCATTTCGCCCTCGGGCAAGGAGTCTATCTCGTTGAGCGGGAACTCAAAGTTCTCCTCCGCAAGGACAGGCACTGGCCAGCGGATGTAGCTGGAGACATTGCCCCGCAAGGAATTCACCTCCGCCAGGGCCCTTCCTAGCTGAAGGCCCAAATTGGCATTCTCCCCGCGAAGGGCATTTAATTCCTCGCGCAGGGCCACGTTCGCCATGCGTAGGCTATTGAGATTTCCTGATGCCTCGGACATCTGGACTCGCCCGGGGCCCTGGGTCTGGAGGCGGGGTGGGGGGGGCGGGGTGGAGGTGGCAAGCTAGGGGCCGTGAAAGGAGGCCGAAATGCGGCGGGGCACCAGAGGGGAGCGAGGTGCCGTGGAGGGCGCAGGGTAGGCCGAGCCACACCCACCGGGGCGAGCACGGAGGGCGGGCGCTCCGGGCACAAGGCCCTGCGGCTGGGCCCGGGGCGTTACCTCTTCCTGGGGATCGCAGAGGGCAGGCGGCAGCAGGAGCCGAGAGGCGCCGAGTGGAGGTTGCGGGCTGCAAGACGGTGGCCCCTAGGTGGAGCGGACGGAGCAGACTACTGCAGGATCTCTCGAGGAAAAATGTTGCGGCTGCCGGATCCCTGCCTTTTAAGTGCAGCCTCGCCCCGCCCCCCCCACCCCAGCAGGGGCGGGACTTCGGGAACCGCGGGCGCCCAGTGGCCACCGCGCCCACCCCTCGGCTGAGCCTCTCACTGACTCTCTCCTTCCCTAGCTGCAGCTAACTCGGGTCGGGAAAATGCGACAGCGACTGCCCACTCGAGGTCGTCATGGCGACAGCCAGTGAACGTGTTCCTCTCCTCAGGCAGGCCCCCGAGTGTAGAGGAGCTGCTTCGCGAGGCGCAGCTTAATCTCCAGAGCCTGTTGCAAGGTACCGAGAGGGAGCGGGGCTGCGGCCGGACCCCACAGGCCAGATGCGCAGCGGCTGGAGGGAGGCAGAGAAGAGAGGACAGGGACCAGCGAGAGAAAAACATAGAACACCGTAAAAGCCATTGAAAAACAAAACACACATTTTCCATCTTTCGCCTTCTTGACTCATGATTCTAAAAGGTCCTATTTCTACGGTGTTTACCACCTCCCCCCGCCCTTTTTTCAGTTCAATACTCCGTAGGGGGGGGGGAGGACAGAAACAAACAGGATAATGGGTCAAACCATTTCCAAAGACAGCCGGATGAGAGAGACTCCCACAATGTGGCCCACATGCCTTCCAGACCTCTTGCCACATCACCCATGCCTTTGGAATCCTGTCACTGAAAGTCAAAGAAAGCACCTGCAGGTCTCCCACTCTGGGCTTCACTCACTCTACTCTTGCATTAACCTTGTCCACACGTCTCCTGGGTAGCTACTGCACTCAGTTCATCCCCAATTCCCAACACAGTGTTGTTGAGGTCCTAGTGAGCAAAGCTGGGTCCACCCCACCCAGAGAAACAGCCCAGTCAGAGTGCCTGAACAGTCACACTGCACGCACAGGAAGAGGAGGAAAACCCAGACAGAGCTACAATCTAATTCGAATCACACACCTACCGAGCTGTGTGACATTATACAGATACACACCCTCTCTGAGCTTCAAATTAATCAGTCATCTTTAAAATGGGAATTCCAATTCCCCACATGCCACACTTTCGCGAGACTTAAAATGTGTATGTAAATTGCTTAGCAGGAGTATCTTGCTGCTGGAGACACCTTGATGAGATGCAACATCAACTGCCAATTACATGTCTTTTGGAACACGGGCTGAGCTAAGCACAATATTAAAGTTAATATAAAAGAAACAACAAGGTGATCCCTGATAAGACCTTCCAATATGAAATGCATACACATTGACCAGAGGGATTTATCCACCGTAAGTGGTATTAAAGCTCAGACCTATGAGACGGACTACTGGCGTGCTGCAAATACCTGGGTGGAGGTTACAAGGGGGCATGCATATGTCAAAATTCACCAAACTATACACTTAAGATTCATGCACTTTACTGTATGTTAAGTTATATCTCAATAAAATAATACAAATAAAGTCTCAATGCTAACTCACAAGCTCCATACCCCTTCAGGCCCTCCCGTCCCATTCATACCTCTTTTCCAAGCCTAGAAGCCCTTCCTCTACCTCATTCCAATTCCTACACTTTAAGTTCTATTCTTGCCTCATACAAGAAAACCTTTAACACGAGTTCTGCACTTTGCACCATTCCCTCCATAAGCACCCATATGAGGCACTTTGTACCATGTAGTTCAAGAGGACTTGTATAGTTATGAACTGCTCTTTCTTTCATTTGTTCATTCATTTACTCATTTGTTTACTAGCCCTGGGTATATATTTTGCCAACTTAACCAGACTGAGCTTGTCAACATAAAGAACCACATCTCTTGGGTTTCCCGAAGCACCTCGCATGGGGCTGGATCCCTAAGAGGTGCTCCTAGACACTTCTTAAGTGAACATTAAATGTGAAAAGACATCAGCTCTCATTTATTCATGCCAATGAGGATTAACACTGGTGGAGAATAGAAAATGGCAGATGGCCACCCAACTGGACTATAGCCATAACCCCCACCTCTTTGCCAAGGCAGTGGTGACCTTAGAGCAGCAAGATTCCAAGGGACACCATGAGCTTTGTGTTCAGATAAGAGAGGAGCTACTGTGCAGTAAGAGTCAGTGTGTTCTGTGTTGTCACCACAGGCATGATTAGGACTGGTGGGAGGAAACAGAGTGAGGCAGATTTCACCTCAAGATAAGGAAGAACTTTCTTGACACCTGACAGCCCCAACTGTCCTTGGATGGAATCTGCGGCCTTGGGAGGAAGGCTGCTCCACCCCCTGACCCTGCTCTCCCGGTGCCTGCAGAGGCTGAAGAGGCATGTTAAAGGGCTGCTGAGGAGGACGTCTGAACCCAGATGGGGTGTTAGACAAGAGAACCTTTGAGGCTACTCCTGACTCCAAGTTTAGGATTCTTAGAGTCTTGGCGCAAAATGTACATAGAGCCCTGCCTATGGATTCTTGACTGTCACTGCCTTCATTTCATCGGATTCCCTCACTTCCTTTGAATTCATCACTTAAATGAAACCAATTCAAATCTCATGCATCTTTCTTATTCCCTGACAATGCCCTTGAACTTTTCCTTCTCTGCCACTTCCTCTTCCTTCCCTCTCCTTCACCTAAGCTCCCCTGGACCTGTCACCACCTCAAGTGGGACTAAGGTGCAGGAAGCCATGCCCTTGGAGGCTCGAGCAAGAGTTATTGACATCCAAGGGAGCATTGCACATTGGACTTCCTGATACAAGTCTCTTTGTGCTTCACACAGGTCACTTCCCAGGTAGGGCTGCAGAAAACCTGAAGAGCTGCAGGGCTTCCTTCAAAGAGAGGACCTTATAGCATAAAGTAGCAAAAGGTGTCTGCATCCTGAGCCTCTTCTCCAAGTTGAGCACAGTGGGGACTACTGAGGCAAGGGCTTAGTCCCAGGACCAGCACAACTCAAATTTCTTGATTCCCTTTTCTCCTCAGCTCTCATAGTCCCAGGGAGCAGGCATATTTCCATGTCCGAATCCAGAGGCTCAGATGCCAGGAAATCTCTTAAAGAAACTGGGCAAGTCAGGCCTGGCAGCTAGAGCAAGAGCCCTGGCTCATGGTCCCTCCCCTGCCTGGCACTTGGCCATGGCCCCCTAGAGTGTGTATCCACTGTGCTGTTTTTCAGAAGAATATGAGGAACAGTACTCGGAGGCCAGACTGCTGGGGCAGACCTTCCGCTCTGCTGATGAGGCCCCTGAGCCCACCCCCAGCCCAAGGCCCCAGTCTGCCAGGCGTCTGGAGTTTGTATTGATGGTGAGTTGCCTCATCCCCCACCTGGGAGAGCCAGCATGCAGAGCTCACCCTGCACCCATCAACAGGGTACCTCGAGCTACTTACATTATCCACCAGAAGCCGCTGCTCCCCTCTGCTCACCAGCAGAGCTACCCTGAGGCTCAGCTGAGGTGGGCCCTGCACAGCAGGTGTCTGGCCTGGCAGCCTGTCCACGTTTTCCTGCCCCCCAGATGAAGCCTCCAACCACCACGCTTAGACAAGCCATCCTGCAGGCATGGCTCATCTCCAGTCAGGAGCACACCCTTCCCATCACCTTCTTTCCCAACAGCCTACAAAACAGCAGCTGAACGAGGATGAGACTACCACCCAGGGTGTGAGGGCCCCTGAGGCCTCCCTGAGCCTGTCTACCACAGCCGACAAGCAAGTTGCCTGGAATAGCCCCTTCCCTCTGCCCATCCTAGAGGAGAAGCGGTGGCTTCAGCCTTGCTCCACGCACTCTGACATTGTGCCCATCAACATCTCTGGTAGAGTTGCTTAGCACCACCTCTGTTTGCTTCCTTCCATGCCAACTACAGACCATCCTCTCCAAATGCACTGGGTGCTGGGGGAGGGAGCGAGACTTTCTTTGCTACTGGCTCACCCTGCGCTGTCAAGATCACGGCTCTTACCAGGGAACGGAGGCATGCAGAAGAGGGGGCTCTGGCTGCTCGCTCTTCACCATCTATTGGCGCTGCCACATTAACTGAGACCATTTGATAGCAAACAAATTGATCTTAACAGAAAACTCTGAAACTTTATGAACTTGAGTGCTCTTTGGAGCATCTATGGAAATTTGAAGTGTTTGAGTTATGTTTGGGTTGGGGAAATAAAACTTCTTGTGCCATAAGCCATGTCTGGATAGGAGTCTGGGGAAAAGTGCGCAGTTCAGAATGCTTGTGGTAAAAGGGAGGCTCATACCCAGGGCATGGACCACAGGCCTTATGGCATTTTAAGTAGACACTTGGTCTTCTAGTGAGGTTGGCCTCCTCAACTGGTATGGCAAGTGTTTAAGAAGGGAAGTAACAGAAAGGGATCAAGGCCAAAAAGACCAAAGAGGGGACCAGTACTGCCTTGAGAGTAGGGAACATGATGTGTGTAGCTGAGCTGGATATGACTTTGGGAACATGGGACACTTATACCACACACATCATTAATTTGTGCTCCACACTCCACTGGCTGTAAGTGAAAGAGGAGGAGGGTTGGTCATTTCAGAAGGAGATAGGGCCAGCAACCTGGTGAAATCGAGACTTCATGACCCAAAGTGACAAGAGGCACACTGTGAACCGCATTGACCTGTGATATGCTGGGGAAAGTTGAAGAAGATGATTAGGACAGCTCTGGCCACATGTGGTGATGCTCCCTGGATATGGGGTCATCCAGTGCCACTGGTATCCTCTCAGGAAATCAGAGGCAGGAAATAGAACCCACAGCCTAGGGAGATGTACCAAAAGGAGTGAGGACTGAGGGGAGAGACTCACAAAGTGATCATGGGCACTTTTTTTCTAAACTTCTTACTTGCAATAAGGCTGCTCTGAACTTTGTCCACAGAGTCACTTGCTGTGAGGCTGAGAGGAGAAGGTTTGGTTAGACAGCTGTTGAATGAGAGACAGTGAGGAGAGCAGCAGACCTCACTCCCTGTCTTACCCTGCCCCTACCCCAGAAGTTGCACAGGAACAAAAAACTGACCAAGTGCTTTAGGAGAAATAGATCTCAGTCACCACCAAAATGTAATCAAAGGTAGCTGGAGGACAGACTGTCAGGCAGCTTCTTGGATGGTGTCGGGAGGTGAGGCAGCTTCTTGGAGACACTCTCTTCTGGCTCACATAAAGGCTTTCTTTAAGAAAAGATTGCAATCAAGCGACCTCTAGTCTCAACCTGTCTCTCTGTAGCAGTGGTTTCTGCCTCAAGCTGTACATCTGAATAATCAATCACCTGGGGAGTTTGAGAAATAGCTTCTACCTGGGACTTCCTCCCAAAGAGTCAAATGTTCTGAGGTGGGGTCCAGAACATTTGGAGTTGCAAAAGCTGCCCAGTTTATTTCTGTATGTAGCCAGGATTGAAAACCATGGCTCTTGGCCACCTAAGACTCAAAGGTGACTCTGGGTGTGGCCTATGAAAACCAGCATGTGTGTTTTGGGGCTCTGGGTGTCTGGGGTCATGTTGGGAGGGATGTGGAAGAAGGGCCACCTGCCTGGATGCTATTCATGCTCATCGCTACTGCCATCATCCCTTCTCTCTGCCTCAGGCCCATTTCCACTGTACTGTAAACAGAAACCAAGATGCACCCAAGTGTCTTTATTTTGGCTACAGGGCAGCAGTTTGATAAACACGCAAGTTTGCGACACTCGCTGTTTAATACAGAGACAGCTGTGAACCCCAAGTCCACCCTGAGGCGAAGGCGGACCATTATTGGATTCTCTAACTTTTCCCAGCGAGACCAAGGTGACCCCACCACAGCTGATCCCCCAGATCCTTCCCCTTGCTCACTCCCACCAATCCTTCCACCTGGGTGGTATTAAGGTGATAGAGAACAGGAATATTTTGGGGGGGGGGTGTTAATATCCTGAAAAAACCAATGTGATAAATAAAGATAACCAACGGCCTTTGGTCAAGGGGAACAACCAAACATGAAGAGCTGGTCTCCCAGGGTATAAATTCATATGTTATTGTTTCCAATTATAAATGGAACATAACCATGTATATCAAGTTTACACAAGTAGGTACAGGGGGGACTCATCAGTAAAAGCACCATCTTAACATAACCTTTACTGCTGTTAAATGAATGCCATCCAAAGAGCACAGATCAGAAAGGTGGATGCAAACCCAGACTCTCCATTTATTAACCATGAGGCCTTGGCCAAGTTATGGAACCTCAGCTTCTTCAACTATAAATTGGGGATAATGATACCAACCTGGTGGAGTTGTCGTGAGAATTGGAGTTATTGTACATAATTTTCCTACCATGTGCCTGGTACATAGTATACAATCAGCAGATGGTGCCTGTTATTATAAATTTTATCACAGCAGCAGCAGCAGCAGCAGCAGCAGCAGCAGTAGTAGTAATGATAACAGAACAGTAATAACTGTTGTGTACATAAAAAAATCTTTGGGGATTTTGAACATCTGAACAGTTCCCTTACATTCATAGCTTATCTTAAGTCTCTCATGTTGCAAAGCTAAAAAGTGACAGGTGCCAAAAATGCAACTAGACTCTGGGCTTTCCAGCCATGGCATACTCCAAACTCACTGCTGAAGCAGAAAGTCACACAGTGCTGTCCTTTATAGTTCAAAAGCCTCTGCTCTCATCTCAGGAGAGCTGAATGCTGAGGTCTGTGATGGTTTCATGAGCCTGGGGTGAAAGCCCAAGAAAAACGCAAGGTAGTCCCCACCTGCCACTTCAGCTCCAAGAGGAATAAGAAAAGCTGGAAAGTCCTTGGCAGCCATCTGGATAATTCAAGGGCACCCCGTGACTCACCGTGTCGTGGTGGGCAAGGACCCAGCTTCCCCGCATTTTCATCTATGGAAAGGAAGAACCAAGAAATTCTGACCAAGTTGTTGGCAAATGCTTCTTGGCAAAAACTTGGTGCTACCATCACAGGAGCTGCTGGGGTATCCCTGGCTGCACCACTAATGTTCTGTGTTTCCCTCCTCCAGGTCACAGCAACAGCCCCACAGGCAGGGTGGTTCGTTCAACCAGCTCAGACATCAAGCCCAGTCATTCCGTTCCAGAAGGCATTCATGGAAGAGCTGCAGTTGGTCAGGAAGCTTGTTTCCCAAATCTCAGCTCACCAGTACTGAGAAATCCTTCTAGTGATCCAGAAGAACCTCTCCAGGTGCGTGGTAGCACCAAGCCGCCTGGCATGGAAAGCGTGGGAATGGTGTATAGCGTCCCCAGTTCTTGCAATGGACCAACAGAATCCACATTCTCTGCTTCCTGGAAGGGAGATGCTTTTACCTATATGACTCCAAGTGCCACCAGTCAGAACAATCAAGTCAATGAAAATGGAAAAAATCCTTCCTCTGGGAATGCATGGGTCTCTTTGCACACATTGCCACCTCTGGTTCCTAAGGAGGCTGCCACCCTCTTTGTCACTCGTGATAACCCAGCAGGATGCAGTGGGTCAGCTGGCTATTCTGAACACCCTATGCAACGAAGGCAAGTACCGGAGCGACCCTTCAAGATTGGTCTTTTGACTGGTGGTGGTACCTCGAGACTGGAGACAGGCCCAGGTGGGGCCAGCAGGTTCCGGGAGCGGTCACTGTCTGTGCCCACAGACTCAGGCACCCCAGATGTGGACTACAATGAGGAGCAGAAGTCCAGTGAAGCCTGTGCCCTGCCTTATGCCAGTACAAGTTCCGAGGGCAGTAACAGTGCTGACAACATTGCCTCCCTTAGTTCCCAACAGGAGGCCCAGCACAGAAGGCAGAGATCCAAGAGTATCTCACTCAAGAAGGCCAAAAAGAAGCCTTCCCCACCAATGCGCAGTGTCTCACTGGTCAAAGATGAGCCAGAAGGTGGGTCAGCACTACCCAAGGACCAGAGGCCCAGGAGCCTTTGCCTCTCCTTGGAACACCAAGGGCATCACTCATCCCAGAGTCACACTGCTGTGCCTACCTTCAAAGACCCAGAAGGAACACAATTCTCCCACCACTGGTATCTTACTGACTGGAAGTCTGGTGACACCTACCAGTCCTTGTCTAGCTCCAGCACTGCCACAGGCACCACAGTCATTGAGTGCACTCCAGTTCAAGGCAGCTCAGAGTCTCTTGCCTCCCCTTCCACCTCCAGAGCTACTACACCTTCCCAACTATCCATCGAGGTAGAGGCCAGGGAGGTACCCTCCCCAGGAAGGCCCACTGGGCTGATGTCACCCTCCAGTGGATACTCCAGTCAGTCGGAGACACCAACACCCACCGTCTCCATGTCATTGACCTTGAGCCACTTGCCCCCTCCGAGTGGCAGTGGTCGGGTACGTCCAGTGGTACCTGAGAGGAAGTCATCACTACCCCCAACATCACCAATGGAGAAAATTTCCAAGTCACGGCTATCATTTGACCTCCCATTGACCTCACCTACATACCTGGATCTGTCTGGGATGAGTATCTCTATCCGAAGCAAAACCAAGGTGAGCCGGCATCACTCAGATACAAATTTTGGGGCCAAGCTGCTCCAGAAAACTAGTCCCAATCAGCCAATCATGCCCATGGTTACTCAGTCTGACCTACGCTCTGTTCGCCTGAGGTCAGTCAGCAAATCTGAGCCAGAAGATGACATTGAGAGCCCTGACTATGCTGAGGAATCAGGAGGAGAAGTCTTCACCTTGCCAGAGAGAAAGATGAAACCTCCTATAGCTGAGAAACCTCCGCTGGCCCGAAGGCCTCCAAGCTTGGTCCATAAGCCACCATCTGTCCCTGAGGAACACCCTCTCACTTCGCCTATGTTGGCTATGACCCCTAAGAGCTCAATTCAACACATGAGGCCACTCCCTCCAGACATCTACACGGTGGTACAGAAACCAAAGTCTTCCAGCTTCCCTGAGGCCAGAAGCCCAGGGGAGTCAACAGCACCCTCATCTCTTGTTTTCACACCTTTTGCCAGTTCCTCTGGTGCTTTCTGCTCAGGAACACAGCAACCTCCCCAGGGAAGCACAGAGGACGAGGGCCCCAAGGTGAGAGCCCTGTCTGAAAGAATTAGCCTCCAGAGCCGAGAACAAGCTGAGAAGAAGAAAGGCAAGATTCCACCTCCTGTACCAAAAAAGCCCAGTGTGCTGTACCTGCCTCTCACCTCACCCACAGCTCACATGGAGACCTACGGGGCTGAACCAAGGCTGCCTGTCAGCCCCATCATCACCCTGGAGGAAGATGACAAGTGTCCCCCCACCGGCGACCACCTGCAATCACCTGGTACAAGGACCACTTCATCACCACAGGCTGACGGTGAAAGGGAGGCAAGCTCTCCGGGTTAGTAAACTATCTTCTGGCTTTTCCTTTCAATCCCAGGAGAGATGAGGTTGAGAATCGAGTACCAGAGACAGAAGCCAGTGCCCCATGATCCTGACCCTGGGATGACCATGGCAGTAGGGACATGTCTTGACAATTTGGGTTACTCTAAATAGGCCTCACTGCCCTTGAGATCGGATGGGGGCAGCTCTCCAAGATTCAGTTTGAGCCAGTCTACCCTGGAACCCCCAGTGCTGAGGTAATGAAATTAAACTAGGTCTTAGCACCCTAGGACCTTAGGAGCCCATCTCCCTAATCAAGGAGTGCTTCCCCTGCCCTAGGAACAATCTCTCTCTCTTTCTCTCCTGCTCCCTCCCTCCATCCCTCCCTCCTTCACTGTACAGTACTTTGCACTAGCAACACTGAGTTTAGTTTCATGCATTAGGCTGGGTACCCTCCCAGGCTGAGTTCAAGTGGTGTGGTGGGCTTGCAGGCTTCTGAAGCAATAGAATGTGTTACCAGCAGCAGACTTTTGAGAGGAAAAGGAGCTCACTTTCTTGGATGGTTAGCTCTTTCTGGAACAATAAGACTAAGTTAGGTAATATTTCTCATTATTTTTGGTTTTTTTCCATGCCTCTTTTTGTTTTCATTGTGGCAAAATACACATAACATAAAATGTACCATGTTAACAAATTTTACACGTACAGTTCAGTAGTGTTAAGTATATACACACTGTGGAGCATCTATCACTGCCATCCATCTCCAGAACTCTTCATCTTGCAAAACTGAAGTCTGTACCTAATAAACATTAACTCCCCCTGCCCCCTCTCCTCAGCCCTGGAAACCACCATTCTACTTTCTGTCTCTGAATCTGACTCCTCTCAGGACCTCATATAACTGGAATCACACAGTATTTGTATTTCTGTGACTGGCTTACTTCACTAAGCATAATGTCCTCCAGGTTCGTCCATGTTTCTCTTCCTTTTTTGAACTCTTAACACCAAACATCAAAATCCCTTTTTTGTCATTTTAGTTATTTATTTCTAGAGAGAGGGGAAAGGAGGGAGAGAGGGAGAAAAACATCAATGTGTGGTTGCCTCTTGCGTGCCTCCCACTGGGGACCTGGCCCACAACCCAGGCATGTGCCCTGACTGGGAATCGAACCAGCAACCATTTGGTTTGCAGGCTGCACTCAATCCACTGAGCTACACCAGCCAGGGCAAAACATTAAAATCTTATGACCTTCCTTAAGCTGATTTGGACTTTCAATATAAATTAAATCATTGTGACTAAAACATTCAAACAAATCAAAGTCAAAGGTAATTTTAGAATATTCTTCCTCAGATCCCTCAGGCTCCCTCTGAAATTCAGGTAGGTACCACTCCCACCCACTGGTTGAGTCACTGCTTTAGATTGCTCTCAGCTCCTTGATTTTTTAAAAAGGACACATTTAAAACAAGAGAATGCTCAAGCAGCCTGTTGTAACAAAAGAGGCATGAGAGAGCAGGGACCCAGGCTGATCTTCAGCACTCAGTCCACCTTGACCAAATCACTAACCTTCTGAATATCATGTTCCTTTGCAGAAAGGAGACATTAAGAGTCTCCGCCCTCCTGCTCTTCCAGAGTTGCTTTGAACATCAAATGAAATACAGACGAGAATGTGCTTTGTCCCTACTCTTGTGGTTAAAGTAATTCCTTCTGGTTCTTATACCTAGGGAGTTCCATGGAACCCAGCACCGAAGAGAAAAGTGTTATCAGTGATAAAACAGCTGAATGGATTGCAGAAGATGATGATGACGTGTTTGTGGCTTCACGCACAACTGAAGATTTATTTACTGTGATACACAGGTCTGGACCAATTACCTTAATTCCTATTGTAATTGCCTTCCCTTTTTATACCAAAAGATGAACCCCCTCCTCTAAGCAGCCATTAGAATTGAAACTGGAGACAAGTTCAGATACCCACATATGTGAAAGCAGTCCAGGGCCTCACGTGGCCAATTCACTGACATCTTTGGGTGAAGTGGAGGAGGGGCCGGGAAGGGAGGACCAGGTGCCAAGTGAGAGGCCCCTCGTCTCCTAGCAACTGCTCAGCCTATTGTGGCTCCATCTGCTTTCTCACAGCTTTGTCTACAGTTGGAGACATTTAACCCTTTACAGAATTCTTTGTGCAAAAAAAATATTTTCAAGAAGTAAAGTGGGTCACCAGGCCAAGCATCAGAGAAGGAACTTAGGTAAAGGGGGACCAGATGGGGACCCAGTTATTAGAGAGGGGCATAGAGCAGGGGCTCAGTGAGGAGAAAACTGGAAAGAACCCAGTTACTGGAGCTGGAGCACCAGTTCAGTGCAGGGTCAGTTCCGAGGCTGTCTTGACATACATGTCACTGAGCTACTAGGCTTGACTCCTTAAATTCTTCTTCAGTCCCAGAACCTAGACAGGACTGAGCCTGCAGGTGCAGGCTAATGACTCCAGCTGCAGGCATTGAAAGGAGTGTAGAGACAGGGGCCAGACAAGGGAGCCCAAGGACGCAGTGTCGAGAGAGAAAGCTGGGGAGTGTGACTGCTTGCAAGGCTGCTACGTAGAAGTTCCCAGATCACGTCACTGGCATATATGAAGTTATATGAAGCATTAGGAAATGTCCACCACATGAATTCACTCAAAGCAAACTTTCTCTTATTTAGGTCCAAAAGAAAGCTGCTTGGCTGGAAGGAGCCCGGGGAGGCTTTTGCTGGAGGCAGCAGACCAAGCTCCCACTCACCGATAAGGAACACAGCTGATTCTCCAATTAGTGAGTCAGCTGCCTCTGCAGGGTCAAGTGCCAGTGCCAGCCTAGATGCTGGCAGAAACGATGATTTCAAGGCCTTGCTACAGAAGAAGGGAAGTAAGGCAACTCCACGGTCCCGCCCCTCGGCAGCCGAACTGCTGAAGACCACTAACCCATTGGCTCGGAGAATTATCGCACAATTTTCAAAAGACTACGACACCACTGATAGCCCCAGTACCTAAGCCCTGGGTTGAGCAAGTAGGGTTCAGTTACTAAACTTGAGTAGAAAAGGGGGAAGAGAAAGGTTTTAAAAAGAAACCATGAACATATCAAAACAGCCTACATTTCTTTACTTTAACTCACACTCTGTGTCCAGGAGAGACCACTTTATCTAGAACTAAAGTCATCAGGCACTTTAATCATGCTCAGACATTTTACGGTTTCATACTTCACATCTTGCCATTACTGACTACAGATCTTCTCCTTATTTCCCGCCAGTGGTGTGCACTAAGAAGAAATTGTCAAATGCAAAGACGCATGTGCCATCTTTTCAAACAAGGACCGCTGCTCCATCCCTGGCTCCGTCACTGAGGGGCACAGTGTGAGAGCAGACTGAGGGCTGCCAAACCTGGGGACATGGGGAGCCATTGCTGATGATTCACTTTCCTGGCGAGGCCTTGATGACTTTTTGTGGAGAAACAGAAAGACTCTGATGCCTCTTCAACCACGGTGTAGCTCTCTCTCCCTTTAGAGGTTTGCAGGTGTGCACTTATTTCGGCATGGGGTTGATTGTATGGCTTTTGTGAAAAATATGAATGTTACTCTGTCCTGAACTTCATGCCTTTTGCAGTTTGATTGTCTACACGGTGATCAGGGTGATGAGTTTCAATAACATACAGACCCTTCCCCCCAACCCCTTAGCTAGAAAAGGTCAGGATCAAGTTGCTTTGGATGAACCAAGCTCAGCCAACAAACAAGGCAGTCATTTGTTCACTCTGATCTCGCCAAGGGGACTCGCACGCGCGGCTTCAGATCCTTCAAGTGTCTGTCAACAGTGATAGCTAGAATCTGTGCCCAGCTTATGCTGCATTCGAAGAACTCTCATTTCATTTGCATATAACATTCATTACAGGAAGTAATTAGCTAAAGGAACAGCGTCATCAAAGGCTCGAGGAGGAGAGAAAGTAAGTGTGGTTTGTGGTTGGTTTTGTTTTGTTTAAACGAAGTCTTACGATGGTCTAAAACTGAGAATGTATAGACTGAAAGGATATATCCAGAATCTAAAAGGCAGCCTTGCAAGTTGCTATGGCCCATAATACACACAAAAAAGCCTACTTTTTGCCATTTGGATTTCACTGTTTGACTAACTTTCTGTTAACCATGTGGGGAGAGAGGGTAAGAACTGGGTAAATGGGTTGCTGACAGAGCCTCAGAACAATCATTGGGATCTCTCCTGCCCCACCTCAAAGCTTACAGGCACTAAATGTTCTTGTCAGTTTAATTTCCTAAGCAAAGCAAGAGCAGTGATTCATTTTATTTTCCTATGTCTGGTTTCTGGGGGAAAAACAGACAAAGCATTGAACAAAGAAAACTGGCTGACCAATAATGGAAAGGTAATTGTCCACCATCTCAAGAGGGGAAAAAATAGTCAAATGCAACTGTAGCCTGTTCCACAAAGAGGGTTCCCTGACCCCTTCCTCCTTTAGCCTCCTCCACCCAACAGATTCATTGAACAGCCTCCTGGAGGATGCAGAAACTGCCCCAGAGACAAGCAGATCTTGATTTTGATAGGCTGCGTTGCTCACCAATGAGAAGCAAGCTTTTAGTACAACTGCCCACACTCCAGGGGACAGAGCAGCTAAAAAACCATACTGAGTGCTGAGAAGACTTAAACCTCTCACACAGAAGCCCTAGGCCTAGGCCCTTGGTTGGTACAGTTCTGAATTCAAGACTTCTGAATACAGGCCAGACCCACTCACTCCCTTGCAATCAGCACTTTCCCCTGATTTAGACAGAAGCCACTTAAAATAATAAACAGCAAAATTCCAAGTGCTTTTGAAGGCATTCAAGCTATTTGGTTTGAAAGACCTAACCTAATTTCAGGGGTTTTACCTGAAATAAAATAGATCCATTGCTGGCCTTAATTTATAAATGAATGCCACACTTGTCTGTCCCAGACTCAGAATTCCAAAAGATGTAAACATCTTGCTCAGTAAGAAAATGAGAAGGAGAGTTTGTGCTTTTGCCTAACAGAGGTAAAATGTAGCCAGGTCCTTCTCCTTGGGAATCATTATGAATAGCTGAACTCTAAAGTCAGGTATGAGACTGACAGAGTATAGGACTTATTACTTCTGCTGTTTTTTCTGGAAGCTTCTTGTTTGCTACTTCTAGAGGATTTTGCCTCTTTCCTCACCTTGCTACCTCTGGTGGTTTCCCCAAAAGATTCTAAGCTGAATGCCCAGACACCTGTATGTTTTTCAATTACCTTGAGTCTTACTTTCTTGTACAATACTCTGTGTGCCTGGAATTTCGACAACATCTTCTACATCATCACTGTGGCCCTCAAATGCCCAGTGGTGTTCCCATTAGCATGGAGGATTTGGGACAGAGATTGTATGGTTAGAGGTAACATGGAGGACTAGGAATATTCATTTAATGTTTTGCAACAGGTGGACCTAGTTCCCAACAGACAACAACCAAACTGTCCAATTTCTACCAATCATCAATGAGTATAACAGTGAACATCTTTCCTACTCATAACACTCAACCTCTCTCCTCCCCTTGATTATCGTAACACCAACTCTCTCTCCCACCCAGGCACAAAGTACAGTATTTGCTGCCTTCTGCACCTACTCTGCTGAGACTGGAGAAGAGAGGCTGAGAGCCCCTACAGAAAGGCTTTCAGAGAACCTACTACTGCCACTATTACTAGTATGAATAATAATGATAATTTCTGAAGGTGGAATATAGAAGAGGTGCAAGTGACATGAAGTTGGCCCCAGGAGGTCAGCTTCCAATTTGAGTTGTTTCTCCCTTTGTTTCCTTTGATTCCAACCAATAGCAGCAGGCAGTCCAGTCAGGAGTACAGGAAGTCATCCCCAGGAGAGGACATTAATCGGTACTTAAGAGTGCTTTGCACTTGGTGGGTATTCATTACATATTTGTGGTTTAGATGTTGAGGCTAGAGAGCAAGTCATTCTCAGCATAACAAGAAGCTTCGCTGGTGTCTCCTCTCCTTTACCTGCCTCAGTCTCTCTCCTGGGACTTCCACCTGGCCGCAACTTGCCCCTTAGCTGCAACCCTTGTGAACTGCATCCCTAGTTGACAGCTCACCCTTGAAGGAGGCAAGAGCAAGGCAGCAAATTAATTCATGTTAGCTTAATGACCACAGACCAACCAGTTGATCTGGAGACATCACCTTGAATGTGCAAAGACAGAGGAGATTCAACAAGCACGTTACCAGGCGTCCATTTTCACTCTAGACAACATGGATTGGATCACGGTCCCACTGTACCTATCGGTCTGAGCAGATCTGTCCACTCACCTGCCCTCTTCCTCATAAATGCACTGTTCCCAAAAAAGACAAGCTCATGGTCCATGCTATTTTCCTCACCAGTGCAGCCTTTCATTAGCACCAAGTCTGTAACACAATGGTGAGCTTTCAGTTTAATATGATTTGCCAGGGCCAGGACTAGAGTGAGGTGAGTGAGGCGTCTGGGGTGCAAAATTTAAGGAGGCGCCCACTCTCAGGGCTGCATAAGTGCCTTACCCTCGTCCTGGCTCTGTGATTTGCACTCCATAAAGTAATATCTCTTTATCTTCTTCCTAAGAACAAGTATGATTCTTTTGACTTGAGGGGTAACTCCCTGCCTGTTGTTGCACCAGATGTTTTTATTGCCATCTGTTTTTCCACTACTCTAAGCCTTTCTCTGCCTATATACATAAAAAAAATCTTCATTATTATCAGAAAACATGGTAGCTCTCTAAGTAACCTGCTCCAAGTGGCAAGTTAGTACCCATTTTAGTGAGGGATGCCGACAGGATAGCCCATCAGCAAAATGGTGAATGAGTTGGAGGTCTGGTCTTTGGGATCCTCCGTCTCCTCTTTCTGCTCCATTCTTCCCAGACCTTGCTTCCCAGCACCAACTCTTCTGAGTGCCTCCTAGTTTGTTCTCTTCCTAGCTAAGAAAAGCGTGCTCTCAGGAAAGGGATAAATTCCTGTACTTTGAGGTTATAAGGCTCAATGCTACCTCTTTTGAAGGTTGTTTGCAGTTTAACAGGGGAAAAACCTTATGCCAAAGGAATGAAATTCTACTTGTAGAATTTCAGGCACCAATTAGTCGCAGAAGTGTGTTTTTTTTCCCCACCATGGAAAGGCCAAATTCCCTGACAGCTAACTCCAGAATATGAAAAACATGTTAATCTCCTGGAATTATTATAGTAAATTACTGATGGTCAATTCAATCGTCCTGATACCCAGTGCCATTCAATACCGCTACAACCAAGGGACTCTCAGAAATGCTACTAAAAGCCACTGAAAAGGCCTAGATAATTCATATTGTACATTAACATTTTTACACAAATGGAATTAATGCTATTTATCATTTGAGTAAAAACAAAAGGATTTAAAGCTTTTGTGAAGATGTGTCCTGTTTGTGAAAGGTGAAAGTGTCCAATATTGTCCAATCAATGTTAGTCGTCCAGTATCAGTGGTGACTATTAAACTTATTGGAGATACAAGTTTACTGAACATGAGCCTCTGCTCCCTGCCATCTATGTTTTGTGCTATCACTTCAGCTTGGTGTAAGAAGAGACCAGATCCCCCCAAAAGCCTCTGAGTGTATTTCAGCTATAAGTGATGAGTGATTTAAATGGACAAGAGAGAGGGAAAGAGGTAAAAACAGCTGCCTTTGTCAAAGGGCAGCAAAAATTATAATTATTTAAACAATAACATTAAATTGAAAAAGTTTCAAAAGACTTGGAAACAGATTTATAGAGGAATACAGTAGTGAATGGTTATAGACGCAGATTTGAGACACTTTTAATACGTTTAACAAAAAGGAATTTGCATAGGTAATTGGTTGTGTGAAAGAGGTATACATATTGTTCAGTAAAGCCCCAGATCTAAACCAGTGCCTCTCAAAGTATGGTGCCAGGACCAGCAGTAGCAGTCGTAGCCCTGGAATATGTGTGGGGGATTGGGGGGCGGGAGGGGGGGGTGCGTGTGAGCGCATGCGCATGCGCGTGTGTCTCTTCCAGTGATGTTACTTCTTCAAGGTCCTGCATCGCTACAACCACAACTCTCGAAATGATTCCAACCTTCCCGTCATTTCTGCTATCATTACAGTAATCAGTCTCTGGCTAAATGATATATATTGTCATGTTGTTGTTTGGTGTTAAGAAATCATCAGTTTGAATCAACTACTTGCTGTTCTCTAGAAGGGCTCTGGCAGAAGTATATTTGATTTTAAGATTTTGCCTAAATACCAGAATTTGATATCAACAAATCCTCAAACAAAATGTGAACTGAAACAACCAGTTAACTCCTCTTAGCCTCTCTTTAATGCCAAGCTTTATAGAAATTTGTTCCTTATGTGGTATTGAGCTTTTCTAATGTCAAATTTTATAGAATGTTATGCATGCAAACACAGCATTGTGCTCATTGTACAAGTCACTCCAAACTCATTTCCTCCTCCGTATGTATGATGGTGAAGAAATATCAATGTGTATGTTCTTATCTCTCCTGATCAAATGTAAATTGCAAATCTTTCATTAAT